GGAAACACTGGTTTCATTCTGTTCAAGGCCATATGTATCACTTACATGAAGTCCTAAAACTTATCTCTCCACATTGAAATCGTTCCCTTACTGATAATAATTGACATCATTGTTCACCAGTCTGACTTATTCTAGTCCATTTCCCACCTAAAATAGTAGATGAGGGGAGTGAGCATCAGAGTTGAGACTGAGAGGTTTGGTTTGAATCCTTGTGTTGCCGCTTACTATCCATGTAATCTTGGGCATGTTTCCTTGTATACTGTGTGCTCATCTTGGAAGAGAATTAACACAAGAAGGCCCTAACTGTGTTATGAGGACTGAAAGAGCAGAGTAATCCTAACTGTGTGCCTGGAACGCAGTGTGGGTAGTCCATAAATATTAAGGCTGGCACTAATGTGAGCACAGGGCTTCCCTGGTGGCTCAGAGGTTAAAGTGTCTGCCTGCAATGCGGGAGACCTGGGTTCGATTCCTGGTTTGGGAAGATCCCCTAGAGAAGGAAATGGCAACCCACTCCAGTATTCTTGCCTGGAGAATCTCATGGACGGAGGAGCCTGGTGGGCTACAGTCCGCAGGGTCACGAAGAGTCGGACACACTGAGCGACTTCACTTTCACTTTCAGCGCGAGCACGGCGTGAATGATTGCTTTACCGCTTGCTTTATTGTCCTATTCTGTACTGTTGTTAATGCTGTTCTCCCATGTCAGGGTACCCCTATGGGTTTTCAGGTCCTTTGAATCCTTCTTCATTTTTCAGAGGCAGTTAAGTGCTTTACTCATTTCCCTCTGTTCTTTATATCCCTGTTAAGTTGACTTCTTCCTGAACTTAAGGACTGGGACTCTTTTTGAGCATCTTTGTATTCCTCAAAATGCCTTGCTCAGATGTATCATAGGTGCTAAAATAACTAGTTGATTATATGGTTAATTCAAGAGCAGTGCAACAAAATACTTTGTAAAGTTTGTTGATTTGGAAGGCAGGTATGAGGTTCAAGTTTCAGGGGGAAATAAATTGAATTTTATATGATATATTGGAAATGGTAGAAATACTTTTATCTCATTAAAGGTAGCTTTCAAAGAATAGTAATTGACTTTTTTCTTTTTAATTTTGACTTTGTCCATCAAATAGAGTCATTCCTGTAACAGAGTGGAAGTTTGGATAGCTAAACCATTTTTCTCTCTGTGCTTCTTTATAAATATTTTTAAAAATCACATTGATGAGCTGAAGTTAACTGTTTAGTACTTCTTCAAGGGTGGAGGGTGTGTGTGTGTGTATACAAATTAAAAATGATAATTGTTTAGTATGCATAGGGAAACTACCCTTATACACTATTTGAAAAATAGCTTAATACTTGAATATTTCATTTAGAAGTTCTGTGGTAAGATTATACTTATCAGAAAAAGATTTCTTGGGCTATTTAACATTTTAATTTTAAAATAAGGGGTTTCAAAACCAGGAGACACTATTTTTTCATGCTAAATATCCACAGTAGTCATTCTAAGCCATTAGACCTTTCCTTAGTGCTTTGTGTGTTAATAAGTCTTGGTGTGCAGAGTACTTGTTGAAACATGTAACTGGAATATTGCCGGCCAGTAACTCCTGATCATTATTCATCTTGTATCCTGGAGTTGTGCTCTAGGGGGTGCTATTCACATGGAATATAATGTAAAAAGAAACCCCTTAGAGTTGTGCACATAGGAGGTATTATCTTAATGCCTTTGGCTCTATTAAGTGAATAAAGTGATTTGAACATTGCTGTGAGGTAGAGTTTAAGATGCACTGTGGGACACTGGAAAGAGTAATTTGCTGGCAGCCAGGAGATCTGGGCTCTGGACCTGGTCACCAATTGACACCTAGCCTTCCCTATGGTACCACAAAGAACTTTGATTAGGTATCTCTTTAGTGGCAAATATTTAGGATTTCGGTGATAGGTTGAACTCGGGAATGAGGTCTAGCACTGAGATTACTAAAGGTAGCAGAGACATGTGATTGTTGAGAAGTGATGAGAAACAGTTTAGGGCAAAGTTAGGCTCATGATTTTGGTGTAGAATGTGAATGGAAATCCATACATCTGCTCCAGGTTCATTGACTGGAGATAGGTCATCATCATTCTTACATTGTACTGCAGGTACATGAAAGGAAAAAAGAGAAGCAGGGCTCAGTTACCTTAGGTTTAGGCCTTCCTAAGACTGATGATGAGTTTCTGCTCCTGCCGTTGCTCAAGCAGTGATTTGACTGGTAGACAGTATGGCCTGTACATTCTAGTGTAGGCTTATGCCCAACCATTTTGATATTCACTGCATGAAACCCCTGGTTTTCCCTTTGCCTTAGTTTTTCCTGCTCCGCTTAGTAGGGATGCATTTCTCCCTACTCATCTGAACTTAGGACCCATTTTATATCTCCATGAAGCATTTCTTGTTTTCCGTTTAGTTGGAAACTTTTCTTGTCATTTTTGGTAATTTTTATTTTATATCTCAGATTATTATATTTGGTGCTATATGTATATTTATTCCCTACTATCTTACAGGGATAAGATAGGGACTTGGTCTTAACTATTTTTGCATCTCTTAGTGCCATAATTTTCTCAAATTTTAGTATATAGAAGAATCGTCTTGAGAACTTACTAAAGTTTGGATTGTTGACCTCTTCCCCATTCTGATTCATTGGATTTAATATGGGCCTGGGGACATGCATTTAATAATAATAATAATAATGTGGGCCTGGGAACATGGATTTAATGTGGGCCTGGGAATAGGCTCCTTGAGATAGTTTAGTTAGGCAGGTGGGTTAGGGTCCCATATGGTTTACAGCATCTTATCTAGCTCAGTACCCTGTCTTGTTCTTCAGAGCATATAATATGATCTGTTGATTGAGTAACTAAATCAGTGGTCAGTCAAAACCAATAATCTGCTCATTGGTATGTCTACTAGAAGTGATCTTAAAATTTGTCAAGATTTATTTTATTCCTGGCTACCTAATATTCTATAGATTTTTGTGAATCGTATGAACTCTTTGGACCCTCAGTTTAAAGTGCCCTTTGACTTATTTTTATAAAAATTTCTTATTAGTCACTCAATTATCCTATTCAGAAAGCTAATTGTAGACATATATGTATATATATATATATATACACACACATTTGAGTTTTGTTTTTAATCTTTGTCTTCTAAAAATAAGCTGTCTATAGCATAGCTTTCTTACAGAAAGCAATACTTTCAGACTTTGTAAGAACTAACAGAAGTCTTTCTAATTCTTGCCCAATTAAATAATTAATTTCATGTCTTTATCTATACTTATTCTCTTCATGAACTCATGGCTTTAAATACTACGCTGACAATTCCCAGATTTATATCTTGAACCCAGATCCCTTCCCAGAACTCTTGATTGGTTTGTCCACTTGTCTTCATGACATCTCTACTTGGATACCTTTATAGCTATCTCAAACTAAAAAATGTCTAAATCTGAACTTCTGACCTTCCTCCTCAAATCACATCTTCCTTCCATCTTCCCTGGCCTTTAATCAGAAACCTTGGAGTTATCCCTGACTTTTAGTGTATGTATTAAAATACATTTAACATAAAATTTATCATCTTAAACATTTTTTAAAATTGGAGTATCAAAGAAGGCTGGGCACTGAAGAATTGATGCTTTCGAATTGTGGTGCTGGAGAAAACTCTTGAGAGTCCCTTGGACAGCAAGGAGATCAAACCAGTCAATCCTAAAGGAAATCAGTCCCGTATGTTCATTGGAAGGACTGCTGCTGAAGCTGATGCTCCAATACTTTGCCCTCTTGATGTGAAGAGCTCACTCATTGGAAAAGACCCTGATGCTGGGAAAAGATTGAAGGCAAAAGAAGGGGGCAGTAGAGGATGATATGGTCATATACCATCACCAACTCAATGGGCATGAATTTGAGCCAACTCTGGAAGATAGTAGATGACAGAGGAGCCTGGCATTCTGCAGTCCATGGGGTTGCAGACTTAGTGACTAAACAGCAACATCAGTTGTTTACAATGATGTGTTAGTTTCTGCTGTTTAACAACATGAATCAGCTATAAGTATACATATATCCCCTCCCTCCCCCTCATCCCACTATCTTAAGCATTTTTAAGTTTGATGTGTTAAATACATTCACATTGTTGGGCTGCAGTCACCACCATCCAGCCACATAACACTTTTCATCTTGGAGCTGAAATTCTGTACCTTTTAAGCAATAACTTCCCATTCTTTGCATCCCCTAACTCCTGGCAACTACAATTACACTTTTTGTCTCTAATGTTAACTACTGCTAAGTATTCCATATAAGTGAAATGCATAGTATTTGTCTTTTTGTGAGCTCCTTATTTCTCTTAGCGTGAAGTCCTTAAGGCTCTTCACGTTACAGCATATCACAGAATTTTCTTCCATTTAAAGGCTGAATGGTATTCTGTTGCATGGGTATACCACATTTTGCTTATCCATTCATTTGTCGATGGACATTTGGATTGCTTCTGTGTTTTTTAGCTATTGTGAATAATGCTATTATAAACATAGGATATACATATCTTTTTAAGACTCTGCCTTCAATTCTTTTGGGTATATACTCCAAAGTGGAATTAATTGTGGTATCAAATGATAATTCTCTTTAATTTTTTAGGAACCTTTACTGTTTCCACAGTACCATTTTACATTCCCATCAACAGTATATCCTCTTTGGAGAAATGTCAGTTCAAGTCCTTTGCCCATTTTTCAATTGGGTCATTTGTTTTGTTGTTGTTCAGTGTTAGGAGTCCTCTATATTAATCTGGATATTAATCTCTTTATCACATGTATAATTTGCATTCTCCCATGCTGTGGGTTGCCTTTTTACTCTGTAGATAGTGTATTATGTACAAAATTTTAAATTTTTTTATGAAGTCACTTTGTTTTTTATTTTGTCACCTAGCTTTTAAACAAAAACCGTTCTATTTCCTTTTTTTCTTTTTATGCCATAAGTTTATTTACAAACATATCTAGGATGCTGAATTCAAGGGTTTGATCCTTTTAAGAGATTGCACCTCTTAATATGTTCCTCTTCTTATCTGTCTCATGGATTACTTTTTAAGCAGTTGGTGTCTTACTATAAAGAACGGTGCAGCAAATCCTGACCCAAAGAACAAAGTCATCATAGCTAGTAACCTCCACTTGTTTTCCACTGAAAATGGTACATTCTTCCCTGGACTCTCCTCGTAGTGGCTCCGACGAACCACAGAGGTTGTAAACCTCTGGATGCTCTGTCCCAACATAGCGCTGTTGGAAGCGCTACAAAAGATCCAGAGACTGAAGGCGGAAGAAATGGCGGCTGCAAACTGTGCATTGCTTCCTCACGACCTTGTTCCCCTCAACCCAATTTTCTGTAACTTTTATTTTCGTTACCCACATTGACTCAGGAGATCATGTTTGATTCACCTTGAGAATATATGCAGAATTTAAACAACTTCAGTCCTTCCATTCTGGTCCAAACCACAAACACATCTGACTTGGCTTAGTAGAGTTGCATGCTAGTTGTTTTCCCTGCTTCCATTCTTGCCCCTCAATGTGTTTTGAACATGGCAGCCAGAGTGATTCAGTTTAGTCAGGTCTTATAAATTCTCTGCTTAGACCCCTGTTAATGACTCCCATTTACTCAAAATAAAACACGAGTTTGAAAAAAGACTTTCAAGGACTTCCCTGGCGGTCCAGTGGTTACCACTCAGTGCATCTACTCCAGGGGACATGGGTTCAATCTGTGCTTGAGAAACTAAGATCCCACAGGCTGTGTGGTGTGGCCAGAAATAGAGACTTTCAAGTTTTCTGTGTTCTACGCCCATATGTTACTCCCCCTTAATCTCTGGACTCCTATCCTACTATTGATACTTTTCTAGCTCCAGCCACAGATCTTCTTGCAGTTCCTTGTGACTACTCTAGTCCTTGTCTTGTGTCAGGACCTTTACCTAGACTGCGTTTTGTTCACCTGTCCTGTGGTTCGTTTCTTCACTTCCATTCTCAATGAGGCCGACCAGGCTACCCTATTTTAAATGCCCTTCCCCATTGCCAGCTTATCATCTTCTAACATACTGTGTATTTTACTTATTTTGTTTATTGTCTGTTTCCCCTTTCTAGAATGTAAGTTCCAAAGGGGACAGGGATTTTTGTCTGTTTTATTTATTGAAGTATTTCCATTGCCTAGAACATTGTCAGGCACATGGTAGATGTTCAGTAAATATTTGTTGAATGAATAAATGGAAGAGGAAGCAAAGTAACCACGTGATCCTTGCTCTCATGCAGTTTTCAGTTTGTGGTTTGCTTTCTCTAAATGAGGTTGACTACATTTTCCTTATTTTTTTGTTTGGCTTAAGTATGTGTAATTCAGAATCTTTGTGAAATTATAGGCATTTAAGCTTTGGGAAGCAGTGTATGTTTAAAAAAAATGCTATCTTGAGTTATGTTTTGAATGAAAGGAAAACTATAAAATATTAAAGTCATGTGCATGCCTGTGCCAGGAAAGGTGATGATATGACCAGGTTTTGAAAAATACTGTTAGGTCACTTTGGGTCTTAATTCATTGCTATGGAACTCTTAATTACCTAATGTTTCATTTCCTTGCAATAAAAAGCAAATTCTTTGGCTTATAAAGTGGACTCACAAACCAAATTATTTTAGCTCTCGTTAAGATTATTTATCTTTTTGTAATCTACCATAAAAAATCTTAAATTTCATTGAAACCCAAAATTCTGTGGTAGAAATAACATATGGAAGACTTTTGAACAAATATCCAGTGTTGAAGCAAACGTAAATAGTAGATATCATATTGATGCCAACTGAGGAAATATGATTAGACTTAGTCAATAAATAAATCTGTTAACATAATCTGCCATGTGCCAAATGAAATAATGAAAGTATTACTGTGGGAGGATGTTTTGTTAAATGTCCTACAAAGGCCTGTGTCTTCTCTGCAAGCCTACCATGTGGTAAACACTTAATAATAATTAAGGAAATAGTAATAAGACCAAATTTTCTATCACTTAAATTGTTTATCTGAGGGAGGAGGTATTTACTTGTGCATAAAACTTTAATAAGACGGCTAATATATCTTGTCTGTTAGTGGCTGACACTTTTTCTTTTCCTTTTTCCTGAATATTTGCAGTGATTCCATAATAGGACATTTATACTTTGATGGTTTTTTTACTTAAAAATTTAGAAGCAGCAGCCATACGCTAAAGGGAAAGGAATTTTCAGTTGATATGAATTTTGCATTTCTGTTGGTTTACTCTAGAAAACTAGCTCATTGCTGTGTTTTCTTTGCAATTAAAAGTTTACCACTTGTAATAGCAGAGGAAAATAAGTTTACATTATCTCTCTTTAGTTTCATTTCAGAGCCAGAATGTGTTAAAGATATGAAATACCAGGCCTTATTAAGAGAGTTTTCAGGGAATGTGATAAAAGTAAAATTTTCTATGAAAATGCAAGAGAAAAATAGGATGAACTGGAGAATTTGTAAGGTTTTCCGGCAGGATGTATGAATTATATGTTTATCTGTAGATTCTGTAGTTACTTTATAAAAGTAGAAAGCTATCATTAACCTCAGTATTTTGTGTCTCCAACTGAAATATTGTGTGCTTGAAATATTGAATGATTTAAGTTTTCTTATGTTTCATGCTTCCTAAGTTATCAAAAGATAGAAAATAAAAAAGACTACCCGGCAGGAATTCAACTTATATATGTGAAAATCTGTTATGGTCACTCCCACATTTGAGTGAAAGAATTTGAACTGAACTAGTTGTAAAAACTTTCTCTGAAGTGAATATTTTCTGACTAACTTTTGAAATAAAACCAGAAACACTTTTCTGAAGAGTAAAAAGAAAAAATTCCAATGTATCAAGTGGGAAATCATAAGGAAAGTAGCATCTTTGTATTATTCCAGTTGTTGTATAAGTGCTAGGCCAGTTGTGAGTTTTAATCTTTACCTTATGTTCGCTTTTACCTGGAGAGCTGGGAATTTAGATCTCTTTAACTGCTTGTGTGGTTTTTGGACTTTAGTTTCCTCTAGGTAATAATAGGGGCTTCCCTGGTGATGGTAGTTGTAAAGAACCCATCTACCAGTGTAGGAGACATAGAGATACGGGTTCAATCCCTGGGTTGGAAGATCCCCTGGAGGAGGGCATGGCAACCCACTCCAGTATTCTTCCCTGGAGAATCCCAGGGACAGAGGAGCCTGATGGGCTATAGTCCATAGGGTTGCAAAGAGTCAGACATGACTAAAGCAGCTTATTACATGTACAGGTAATAATAGACAGGCTTCAGCAATAGGTACTTGTCTTAATACTAATAAAACTCATATTTTAGGCTTTTCAACCTCAAATTTGAGTACCTGAAGAATATATAGATGTATTTTTTAAAATCTTTCTAAGTGAAGTGAAAATCACTCAGTCATGTCCAATCTTTGTGACCTCAGTGGACTCTACAATTACAAAGAGTGATTCCATGTACAGTCCATGAAATTCTCCAGGCCAGAATATTGGGGTGGGTAGCCTTTCCCTTCTCCAGGGGATCTTACCAACCCAGGACTTGAACCCAAGTCTCCCACATTAAACAAGACATCAAAATCAGGCAAACTTCTTATAAGAGCATAATCACCTCAAAATAATCAAGAGAAATTACCATTATATATTTTAAAAAACTTGTTTAGGGTGAAACTTCCTGAATGGTGGAGTAAGGGGCTTGGCAAATTCCTTCCTCTCAATTTTTTTGCAGTTAAAACTGGGCAGAATTGTTCAAAGCAACCGTTCTTGTACTGACTTGTTCCCAGCAGCGTTACTCAACAACCAAAAGCTGAAAATAGTCCAAATATCTGTCAGCTAGTAAGTATAAAGAATGTGGTACATCCACCAATAGAATACTACTCTGCAGAAAAAGGAATGAATATTGATACTTGGATGAACCTCAGAAGCATTGTACTTGAGTTACAGTAGTCAGATATGAAAGACAACATATTATGATTTCATTTATTTTTATGATTTCATTTATTTATTAATGAATGGTTAATTTATAGGAGCAGAGTAAACAGGTTAGTGGTTTCCTAGAACTGTGGATATAAATGGGATTTAATGTAAAGGACCATAAAGGATCTCTGGGGAGCAATTGAAATGTTCTAAAATGAGATTGTGGTGATGGTTATACAGCTCTATAAATTTACTAAAAATCATTGAATTATACATTTAAAACAGGTAAATTTTATGGTATGTATGCTAAGCCTTGGACTTGCAGGATGGTGCAGTGGTAAAGAATTCACCTGTCAGGCAGGAGACTTGGGTTTGATCCCTGGGTCGGGAAGATCCTCTGGAGAAAGAAATGGCAATCCACTCTAGTATTCTTGCTTAGGAAATCCCATGGACAAAGGAGCCTGGTGGGCTACAGTCCACGGGATAGCAGTGTCAGACTCAACTTAGCAACTCAGCAGCAGCAGCAGCATGCTATGCCTCAATAAAACTCTTATGTTGGGTTCCCCCCACCTCCACCATTCTAAAGGAGTGGCCCAAGTAGAGTACATTTCTGCAGATGGGTTTACTTAAATGGCTTTTTTCAGCCTATTTAATTCAGGTATTCTGAGAGCTTGAGGCCAGCAGGAGATGGAACACTGGCTTTGTTTGATCTTAGGCATGTTAATGACACTAACCTTGTAAGTTTTTAAATTTATAAAATAGGATTCAATAAATACCCAACTTTAAAAAACCTGACAAGAATTTGGACATTGAGTTTTGTCATTCACATAAAGTCTTCTGAAAGATAGTGAGAGCGGTAGATCATAGTAACTTGACAACTCTTCCACCTTCTTGCAAATAGGTATCCACCCCTGGGATGAATGATACCTTATCTGGGACAAGGCAGGGGTAGCAAAAATGGTCAAAATGTTTGGGGAAACCAGTTCTAGGCTAGTAGTTTTTCATGGTTATTAGCAAAATAGTCTTGAAGTTATTAAAAGTTTTTGCCATTTCAAAACAGTAGCTTTCCCATAAAAATTCTTGGAGAGAACATAACTTGATTTGACCACAGCATATTTAATAGGAATTTAATCCAACTTCAGAACTTATCCTCTCCTTGCTCTATTTTTTAAAACTTTTTTTTAAAATTAATTTTTGGCTGTGCTGGTCTTCATTGCTACACGGGCTTTGTCTAGTTGCAGTAAGTGAGGCTACTCTTTGTTACAGTGGACAGGCTTCTTCTCTTGTTAGGGAGCACATGCTCTAGGCATGCAGGCTTCAGTAGTGTGGCACACAGGCTCAGTAGTTTTGACTCTCGGGAACCCGTGTCCCCTCC